CAGGGCTCCAACAAGGAGCGAGCCATGCAAGGACGCGGGAATATAGCAAGTAAGCAGCAAGGTTCTCCCTTCACGGACCGACTACAACAAGCTCGCGACTCTATCTAATAGAAAGAAAGGGTAAGCTCTCGGCTCTATTTGCTTGCAATGCTATGCCTATCAAAGTTGGCGAACGCTTCGCTTCTGTAACCTTAGACTCGTTACGCTGTTCGACTGAACTCGTTGGCTCCGCGTCCACCGAAAGTCGGTAACCTTCGTCACCGTCAGCATTTGTCCTCTTGATAGCTTCAATAGTTCACTGAAAGCCTTTGGTGTAATGAACCGCAACGCAAGCCCTTCAGAAAGAAAGACATAATCAAAAAAGAAAGGCTTGGTTGCGGTAACCGACGTTCCCTTTGTAAAGTAGGCCTTTTTCTAACTAATTAGAGTGGACATGAAATGGATCACGGAAGAAGACGTATCTGATGAATGAATGATGGAATCCCTTCCCACTCACACGGGTGGGTTCTTCTATGGAAGAGGTTCCCCTTCTTCTATGTGAGGTGGGGCGTACGTAAGAGCGGGATTTTCTCTTGATCCTAGGAGCGCCGGCCGCCGATACAGTGACCATGCTTACCAGCTCTGACCATTGCCGCCTATAGATATAGATGGGGGTGGGTAGGCGCGAGGGTAGCTTGCGACGTATTTAGATAGAATATATGACCTGCACATGTTATTCGCGAAGAAAAGGCAGCGAGCGGTTCTTCGCTTAGTAGAGCGACGACGACCCCTTCTTCTTCTTGTTCTCGCCCAGCCGCTTCTTTTGATTTGGATTATGATTGAGAATCCTAGACTAAATAAGAAGATCCTGAATCAGCGCAGGGCCAAATCAGCAGCAGGAGAACTAACCTGCCGCCGGTGACTTTCTCAGGGCTCCGCAGAAGACGAAAGAAGGGGTCCGGGTCCAATTTCTAATGAAGTGAAGGTCCCCCTTACTCCCTATTCTCTCTGAAAGGCTTTATAAAGCTCGGCAAGAGAGGGTTGGTTAAGAACTATTGACTGTAAACCATAGCAGTTAGAGTCACTCAATGGAGATGTTCGCCTTTGGAATGAATATAGATGAGCAGTCACTTGAGCCTGGAACTGCTGATCCAATTCGTGGAAAACAGAAAAGATGTCACCGTCGAGACACGGCCGCGACTTAAGATTCAACGTTGAAAAGACTAAAGGAACGGGGGAATGACTACCTGTAATAAAAAAGCACAGGCTAAGCCGACCAGAAGAAGCAAGGCTTAGATTACCAGATCCAGGACACAATTTTCCGTCAGATGGAGAACCTTAACCCCTTGCCTCGCCTTTTCTAGCCTCTCCTTCTTGCTCTTGCTTACCTAGCTCTTGTCTTAGCGACTCTTCCTCTTTTCTAGGTTTTGTTCTGAGTGTGAAAACGGTAGATTTAGCATTTGCCAATGAATTGACTCCGCCCCGATTCGATCAATAATAGGATTCTTGGCTAGAGAAAGGTTCTGTGACATGGACGCCGCCCAGCCCAACTTGGTCGGTTGGCCCACCTAACAGATGATGAGATTCTCGATCGATTTTCTCGAATTTGGAAAACTCTTTCTCACTATTCAGAACAGTGTAGCTTTCGATCAAGATGTTCTCGCCTCCCCCGTTTGGTTTGGGCTCTCGCTCGAATCGGAACCTTTATGCGTTGGTAGGCTTTCGACTCCATCTAATTACCCCTATCGGGCTCCAATAAAAGAGAAAGTTTTCGCATGGGCTCATCATCTGATGCAGAACCGATGCGAGAGGGAGAATAAATATGGGATAAGCGGGGATTGAGAGCTTTTTTTCAAGAACCAGTGGAAAGGAAAGCGTTGTTCCCTGCATTCCTTCCTTTCCAAAGATATTCATTAGTTGGGGCTGGCATAAAATCTTTGTTTGAATGAACGCCACCCTTGGTTGTTTTCAAACAAATCCAATGTTGGGCCAAGCGTTGCCAGCCGGTAATAGCCGAAGGCAAAAAACACTTTGATGGAAGAAAGGCGAGAAGGAAGAGAAGAAGGATTAGTAGTTGCCTAGCCGAGGAACTTGAGGCCAACATTCAGAGCGTGGTCCGGAGTTTAAGACGCCGCCTAAAACGAGTGTCGGTCATAGAGAGGCATTTCTTTGGAAATGAAACAAACCTTATCCCTTGTTCCCTCCCGCCTCAACAGCAGAGCTAGATGCAGATACAGATCTATATGCGATATGATCCCGAACCGATTGAATAACCACCATCCATCACCAATCACATTCCGCATCCCACTGCACACTTTTGGATCCCTCGGCTCCTCTAGAAAGGCATTCCAGCTTCAGGGTCAGGTGTTCCGGGTCAGGAAGGAGTTTGACTGCTGGGGTGGGATCGGATCCTACTCGACATTGAACTTCACGGGTTGGATAGGCAGTAGAGAGAGGAACTCCTATCTTTAGGGCGGGCTTGAAAGACAGAGATGCACGACTCTCCACTGGAAAGGGCTTTACCTCGGGGGAAGAGAGAAGAACCCCTTCCCGGCCGACGGGACTCTACGTCTGGGTCTTACCCCATCTCATCAAACTCGGATTAAGAAGAATGCCCTTGAACTGCCTTACCCAGTCCCTGAAAGCCCTCCCGGGAGCCTACTAGCCCTCTTTATCAACTCGAGTCTGAAGTTCAGCGGCTTTCATCGTTGACGAAGACCTGCGCGCTAATAAGACAAAGAAATAGGGGAGTATATACCTTGAATGAATCAGTAACAACGGATTAGTGGAATGAGGGAGAAAGAGACGGATAGGGGAGAAATGGCCTCTCCATTATTGGTGGGCCTTCCCTTGAACCGGTCACGGAGCTCTCAACTGAGTGGTTTCGGTTCTGTAATTCCATCTCTAGTTGGGGTTTCGGTTCGAAGGTTAGAAAAAAAGTGGTGCGGTCTCTCTCGACCAGGTCAGGTTCAAGGGAAGGTGATCGAGGGGACCCAGACTGGAGATTGATTCTCTATGGCGGGGGGTTTCTTTCGTATCAAGAGTGTGTTGGGGGGCCAGGGGAAGGCGGATTGGATCGAGAGGCGATGCCTATGCCTCTTCTTTTTCGATAGGATTCCCACCATTTTCAGTCTCCGGCGAAGTAGACAAGGGTGGGGCACCGAATATGTTCTATCCTCAACCTCCATACGCTATTAGCCATCTCCATTCTTTTTTCCTATTCACTAGTACACTGCGCGCTACAACTAGTTATAGCCCCTACTTTCTTATTGTTGGGATATTTTCAGAAGCCTGCTGAAAAAAAGAAGCTAGCTAGCGCGCAACGGCTGATGAAAAGCCAGCAACTTGTTAGGAGTAGGTTTTGGCTTGTCCCTTTGAAGGGCACTGGTTACCACTAAACGACGAAGCCAGGAGCGGAAGGAGGGACTTGAACCCTCAACCTCAGCCTTGGCAAGGCTATGCTCTACCATTAAGCTATTTCCGCCAGCGACGGTAGTGGCGAAGCACTACTGAGCAATTCACGTATCACTTGATACGGACGACTTCCGTTTTTCCGCCGGAACACAGTCTTGACCGGAGGTCGGGCTAGGAGCACGAGTAGGTAGGCGGCTAGGTGGGAGAGGGGCGGCTGGGCTGCCTTTGAAATCAATCTCCGGCCGCTCGCGCTATTGGTGCGAGTTCTAAGGAGTCTTGGTCTCGAGTCGAGCTGGGGTGGGGCATCATTTCATTCTCGTAACGGGAATGAGTGCACCGCAAGACCAGACAAGTTGCTCCTTCGCAGCGGCGGCATCTGTATTTGAAGTTCAGTCATTTCCTAAGTCAGACGGATCCTCTTAAGATACGATAATCCAAGCTGCAGCTCCACGAGTCTGCTCGGAACCGGTGGATTCCTGAGCCATTCGTTCTCCCCTCCCCCGGCCACTTACTCATTTATTGAACCTCCCCTTTCATCCACCACAGTAGGTTAAGGCAGGGCGTACTAGGTTTATGCGATAGGGGGCTTTTTCCATAATCGCCCAGTCTTAAAGAAGACTAATGTTCATCATGGCACCCAAAAATCTCAATCAGTTCTGGCGGATAGACTGACTGTTGAAACGTTATATATCTTTCCAATATCTGAGCATGGCTCTAGTAAACTTCTTGTGGTGCAAGCAGGTTGCTAAAATGTTAATAACGAGAATCTAATTGTAAAAGGCAAGAAAGCAGATAGGTAGGAGGAAGATACAGAAAGCCGCGAGGCAAGAAGCTATGTCTCTGGAGAAGAAGAAAGCCCAAGAGAATGGCACAGAAAAGCTTACCAAATCTAGCAAACCTTGGACAAAGGCAAGCTTCTCAATACCCATTCATTACCACGGGGTCGAACTTACCAGTCACTCTGACCCCAAAAGTTCTCCCAAGCTGCACCTTCTCTGCACTTGAAACGTTGCCACTAAAAATGAGAGCAGACTTTTTAAATTCACTACGGAGCCTGTCAATGGTAAACTGTTCAAATTCGTTTCAACTGAAGCAACTCACTAGATGACGCCCTGCAAAATCTCATAATGAGTCGTCCGCAAAGAGAAGATGTGAGATGTTTGGTGCATGTCTGCCCACTTGAACACCAGTAATCCGACCATCTGTGGCTGCTTTATGTATAAACTTCGACAAACCTTCTGCACAAAGTAGGAAGAGGTAGGCTCGTATAGACCTGCCTCAACACTATTGTATTTAGGAAAAAAGAGCTGGACCGGTGAACCATTCAAAACAACTGAGTAAGACACCGTTCGAATACACTCCATTACCATTCGGATCCACTGACCAGCGAAACCCAACCTTGTAATGGCTTTCTCAAGATAACACAATTCCATACAATACGTAGGCCTTGGCCATGTCCAACTTAAAAGCCCCATATACCCCAACTTTTGGCTTTTGAATTCTGATTTCACTGAGCTAGCTACTCGAAAGAAGACCCAACATCGTGAGAAGCAAAGGAGAGAGAAAAGATGTTGAGAATTCACTTAAGAAACCACATCATCAGGGACCCATGAACAAGCTTTGGCAGATAGATGATGAGGAAGCGAAACAAATGACTACTTGCTCCTTGAACTATGTGACTGATGGCTTACAACGATCAACAAGGGAATGAAAAGGCTTATTAGTGAATGAATGTGTACAGGGACCTACGGATAAAGAAACAACAAGATTCACACGCAAAGACTAGTGGTTGAAGGCAAAGAATTCATAGCTTATGAATGTGTGGTAGAAGGAAGCTGACTGTTGTTAGAGACAAACAGGACAGAGGACTTGATAGCGAACACTGGACACAAGTTACAAACAAGAGGAGAGTCACATACAATACAAGGTTGGTTCACAGAGGCGCTTTCTCAGGCTAATTTATGGAGCTTTTTCTCTTTCATTTAGGGCATGGATTCTCAAAAGATCTATATTAAGACAATACTTGTAACGAAATTATTCTTCTTCTAGAGCCACATCATGATCACTTCAGGCAACCGATGAGAAAAGAGCACGCTCATCCGAACAAAAGAATGAAAGAAAAGATCAGGCACTGTTCCCCGATCTCAATCAGGATTGCCTAAAGAAAGAGCAAGAGTCAATTCTTTGGGTGAAAAGCTCTTTCTCAAAATTCTCTTTTTCGAGGGAACATCAGAAGCAAATTCACTAAGAAAATCATCACCAAATTCGAATATCGGAAGAAAGCCGAGCTTGACCCATTTCACTTCTTTCTTTCTTTCGCCACCACAGCTATCGAGTAGCAATCCGTATGATTCATGGTCAGCCGCAGGAAGATAATGGGCTACAAAGCAAGCATTCTCGCGCCAAAATGGCTTTTTGAATTGACTGCATTTTGGTTTCGACCAAACGGAAAATGTCTCCCCGCCGAAGATGCCTCCTTACTAAAACGAAAGTCAGTGCATTGAGTTTTAACCATATGAGAAAAGGACCCCGCAGACAAAGAAAAGAAAACGATCAAAGAATATTGACTTCAAGCGGGCTAGTTTTGTATTTCTAAAAGCAAGCGTTGAGGGCAGCGAGAGGCCGGTTGCCCCCTTTTCTTCGTGGTTTGGTCATCCACAAAAGAGGGAGGTGCTTTGCTTTTGCCTAATATATGAAGTTCTATCCGCCTAGCTCTCACGGATGCCATTCTTGTGCTTCCAGTGTCGTTCGGTTTCGAAAAGGCGGATAAGTCTATTTTCGAGCAGAGAATCCAGGCAAGTCTCGAAGAAGCAACAGCTTGATAGCGATTCGTAGGACGGTTTTCTGATGGAAAAACCTTCGAGGAAAGAAGAAATAGCAAATAAATAGGCAGGCAAGCGCACTTATCCCTAGCTTTCACTCTTGTCTTCTGCAAGAAAGTCAGTTCAATCCTTCATAGTGGGCATCCTATGGTTCCCAAAAACCTTCTCTCCTCAAGCTGTCTCTTCCTTAAAGTTCTTCAAAGTTCTTCCTTTTCTCTGGCGCGGTATGCGCTTTAGCTTCGAAGTGCTTTACGAATTGTATATATGGTGCTTCCCCCCTTCCGTCAGTGAGGAGATTCTGCCTTTAGTCCTTAGTCGCCTAGCTTTCTAAATGCATTCCCCTCAAAAGAAAAAAAGCACTTTCTGGTTTCATAGAGCTAGCAGGATAACTAGTTGATGTAGTTGCCTACTGTGCTAAATAAGCCGCCTCTTCACCGAGATATGATAGAGAAGTTCCTATAGTTCTTTGGCTTATCGAAAAACTATCGGCTATGTGAAATGAAAGTTTACCGACCGAAGCCAGATATGCTGGTCAATAACACCATTTTTGGAAAACTTGTAACAGACTCAGAGGCGGTTTCTTCTATCCTCCTCCCTCGAGGTGGAAGAATTCTGAACCCTGGCCAATCAAGAAAGACTAGAAGTTGCTGCCTAATCATAAGAAGAAGAAGCTAGATTTCACTGAGCTAAATAGCTGCGAAGTTACCAATCATGTGATATTTGTCCGAGATTTCTTCTTGTTTAGCTCTAAGGTAGCTCGGTGATAGCGCATATCTTCTATAGTTTCAATGGAATAGAGAGAGCAGTTACAGAGCGAGGGCTTGGGGATAGGTCGTGTTCACGGAACTTGCCATTCACTTGCCTTAGGGAAACAGCAGCTTTTGGAAGAAAGCTTGACTTCTATGGCAACTATCGGACTTGAAGAAGAAAGTCATAACTCTGACCTTATATACGAGAATCTTGGCTGAAATCTTGTAACCGTTTTAAACTGAAGTCCAACAACCCAATCTCGGTGAAAAGGAGAAGATTCTTGCAACTACAAAAACTCCAACAACGAGGCCGAAGAGAGTGACCAGCGGGCCGGGCTTTTCTTCTCATCTGTTCATAAGTGCATGATATCATATATGGTAAGAATGCTTTGAGTTTGTTATTCTTCCAGCAAATGCTGATGTTCTGGCGTATGAACAATCCCTTGAGGGAAGAGATCCAGTGAATAGTTCGCTTCGCTTCTTTGACCAGGTTGAAATAGAGCAAAACCGATTCTTTGATGATCTATAGGGCATTCCCCAAAATCTTGATTGACGGCGTTTGTGACTAAGTAACCCGGCCATTCCAGCAATGTTTGATGATTGCTGGTTGTGACCTTCTCTCTCGAAGATAGAAGGATCACTACTTAGAATCACCCGTACGTACCTTTGGCTCTCATGGAACTCGTTCGCTTGTTTTCCTGCCGGACACATGGAAATTTCCCGGATATTGCTGTGAAATGAGTAAAAAGACTGGATTTTCTTCTTGTATTGGTGGCCTTACCTTTACAGAGCAAGCCTTGGCTGGTGGTCCGGTCGTATTTATCAAATGGAATTTCGAAGAAGAGAATAAAAGGAAGACGGGACATTTCATACCAGCTTTACACTTCCGTGCCTGAGTCAATGGGATTCGAACCCATATGTCTTAATAGAAGACCTAAGCTTTCCGTAGATGTCACAGTCGTCTTCATCAGGCTCAGAATCACTTGGGTATCAGAGCTATAGCTAGCAGGATTCATAGCATTTGAGAATGTTACGGATGGGGATCTCTCTGACTAAATAAGGGGGTAGCTACGAGGTTCTCGTAAGGATCTCATACAAAATACGGAGTCTGGTGGACCAATACTTACATACGTTGTACCTACCCGCGGAAAAGAAGAATGAACTTCAATCCCTTGATCTCTTGATTGAGATTCAATGGCAGTTGTTCTGATTTCAAAACCTCATATTGAGTCCTATTTGGGGGAAACCCTGACAGAGGGAGAAAAACAGCTTTCAAGCTACAGGCAAGGGTCATGGAATCGAAAAGAATCTTGACTATCGCCCAAAGCCCACAATGAGCGACCGACGCTAGCCTTCGCTTTACCAATTAGCCCGGGTCAGCACCTCAAGAACAAAGCTGGAGAAACCACTACGAAAGCATCGAGAGGAACCGCCCCGTGATAGGGCTGGAAAGTGACGTAAAACGAAGAAGAATTGGCATTTAGTAGGTTTTTTACTTTCTACCACGTTAGGACTTCGAATGGATAGGACTTCGAAACAGCAACAGTTTCATAAGAAGTATAAAAAGCTCAGATACGATTCCTAAGGCGCTATTAGAAATGGAAATACGCAGATTTTTGCTCGTTTTTGAGAAGTCAAAAGCAGTGAGCAGACCTGGCTCTAAGGGTTCATTTGGAGTTATGTTCTCATCAAATGTGTGATTTGTAAAATTTCCTTGAAAAGCTTACTCTTCTAGAGCTACCTACACTACGCAAAGCTCAATATCTAGTCCTTTCAAGGCGGGCTATACGAACGAAGTAGCTACTGCAACAGCCTTCTCGTGCACTCAACGAATAAAGAGGTCTATTTTCACTTTCATTTGCTAACGGCTATTAAAGGAATGTCGGAGAATCTTCCTCACCTGCTATAAGATAGGAAAGATAGGAAGAATTTCGTATAGAGACGGAAGCATGTCAAATAGGAAAGAATATGTTGACCAAAGCGACCCAAGGCAGGGAGTTTCGGACCCAGGGAAGGACAGAACGAAATAGGTCTGTCGTTTTCAATCCATATGAATATGGGCAACAGCGGCTGAGGAAGAAAAGAAGAAACAATTCGGCTAGCTGATTGAAGGCATTTTCCCAGGATTCAGATGCACCAGTGGAAATAGAAGAAAAGTGAAAGCAAGCGCAAATAAGGCTATCCTAGCCCCTTTTCTCCTGGGATCAGATAGAGCATTCTCAATTCATTATACAGCATTTTCTGATGTTTGGTAAGACCTATCTACTTGACACCGGGGTGGAACTCGGTCTGGGACTGAGCTTGACCTACTCGCTACGCTTCCTGCAGCAAAGGATGTTCACTCCGCGCATCAATCTGATTATGAATTCCACATCGATTGATAGAACAAGATGAGGATGAATCCTCTCATAGAAGTCGTGAGGATAGGGAAAAGAGACCTTCCCGTCAACATTCTTCTTATGTAAAAAGAGAATTCTCCTTCTGTTCTGCTGATATCTCCGAGTAAGAACTCTTTGATTTGTAAACTTTGGAAGTTCAAAGCTTCTTTGATCAGGTTCCAATAGAGCAAAACCTATTCTTTGATGATCGCAAGGGAATCTATCAAAAAGGGGAGCGAAAGTGGCTTAAAGGTCACGAAAAGGGCCATAGAGATGGATTTAGATTCGAGAAGAGGGTGAGTTGGAGAAAGTACAGAACAGGAAAAAGACTAAGAAACTGCCAGACCAGAAGTAGTGAAAATCATACAATACTTCCCCCTTTCCTTTGTTCACGTCTTGACTCATGTCTCGAACCGAGAGTGAGCCCCAGGCTACAATAGAGGAGAGGTAATTTGATACGATGTCGCTTGCTTCTTGTGTTGAGAGGTAAGAGAATACAGAGAGCTACTTCCTTATACCCAATAGAAAACCCCCACAACCGCTGAGTGGCTGGGAAGAAGCCGGGTGATTGAAACATTGGATGAGATGAAACAGCCGAGGAAGAAGGAAGAACGGATCAAGCAACCAGAAGAGAAAAGGATGACTTCATTCAGAAGAG